TAGTCAAAGCATGTCCCCCCCAAACCTCCAGCTCCTCAGTTGCAGAAACGCTTTCCTCCCTGACATCGCAAACCTGTTAACAGCCCCAGTGCCTGCCTCCCATGAGCCCCAGCTGAGACAGAAAGACCGCCTCTGAATGGGGAGTTTCGGGAAGACGTCAGAGAGATCGGAGCCAACTAAATCTGCAGGCAAAAGGAGAGCAGTTCCTGCTTGGAGTGCACCTCCTGGGTGAGATCAAGCCTCAGACCTCTTCCAGTGGTGCTGGGAGCCTAGATGAATCATCTCTATGCATTACCCATTACATCGCCCAGAGAACACGGTAACGATGTCCGCAAAAGTGGTTTGGATAGATGATGCGGAAACAAGCTCTTTTTCTATTTTCTTAAGTGCCTTGTGTTCAAAGACTTTATCGTCCTAGTGGGATCCGCGATTGTGGAAGTCGGTGCGATTTCATCGATAATACCATCTTTCTACCGCAGGAGAAATTATACAACGTCTGACTTTTTTTTTTTTTTTTTTGGCCAGGAACTTAAATACAGAGCAATGCATCTGTGTTTTAATATTTTTCTTCTACACACCACATCACAGTGGTGTTCCTTCCTTCTACAAAATGAAAGAAAGGTCCCTATCCAAAAATTTTCCAACTCTAGGTTGCAGTTGGCTTGGTGCCTGGTACCAGTCAACCTGACTTCCAGGGTCAGCTCCTGCCTCACGGGCTGCTTAACTTGCGACACATTTTCTCCAGCCTTCTGCTGCCCATCTGTAAGATGGGGTTGATAATAGTGCAGTCCTGGAAAGGCTGTTATGGGCACCACATTGAATTAGGTATTTAATAAACGGTTCCCTATCTCCTAATGAGCTCCATAGAAATATCTGTTAAATCAATTATATATCTTTAAGGTAAAGAGATAAAATGGTTTAATGCTGAGTATGTCCAAAGCAGCTCAGGGCACCCAAATGTCAAGAGGCCCGTGGACCTCAGAGAACTTATTTGCATATGGAGGGCATTTGTGTTGGTATCTTGAAGGTATCTTGTTAACTGCTCTGAAGCTGTGAGCCATTTTGTCTTGGGGGCACCGTTAAGTTTCCTGGCCTGCTTGGAGAATGCCCTGGGTGGCTAAGGTGGCCAGAGAAGTGACCCCCTGAACAGAGCTGTTTGAAATACAGATTCTGAGTCAATACCTTTGAGGTGGAGCCCAAGATTCTGCATTTCTAACGAGCTTCCCAGGTGATGCTGAAGTAAGTGAGAAATGTGAATTCTGAACACCTTTTCTTTCCCTCTTGGCGTTTAACATATAGGGAAACTTAACTCATGTTTATAGGAATTAATCTGGTAACTTCTGATAAAAACAGGACAAAAGGTCCAAAATGGAGTGCCTCATGCTAAGCTTCTGGTCAGCTAACCAAGACTTAATTTATGGAAAGTGTTAGCTCTCCCAGAATGCTGTCAGTCAGGAATTCCCTGATCAGCTCCAGTGAGGTAATTGGTCTGATAGCCCCCTGCCATCCTGGAAAAGGAAAGGGACCTTGCAATATTGCTTTCTTTGCTTCGCGTGACTTCTTGTTCACACTCAGTTCTGCCTATACACGTTTTTCAGTTTGTACAGCTCCTTGGAACTCCTTTCTATCTGTTAGATTGGGTGCTGCCTGATTCTAATCAATTCTTGCTCAAATACATTCTTAACATTTTTAATAGGCCTTGGCTTATCATTTAACAGGTCTACAAGCCTGTGTTCTGAGGCCTAGAGAACAATAGCACTTACCTGCAGGATTTTTTTTTTTTTTAAGGTTTATTTATTTGAGAGCGAGAGCGGGTCCTCACGCGGGCCCACCATTGGGGGGCAGGGGGAGAGAATTTTCAAGTAGACTCCCCACTGACATGGAGACTGTTGCGGGGCTCAATCCCAGCACCCAGAGATCACGACCCCAGATCCCCACCTGAGCCGAAACCAAGAGTCCAGCTCAACCCACTGCGCCAGGCAGGTGCCTCCAACCGTCGGACGTTTTGGCAGACTAGATGAGATCCTACGCATCTAAGCACTTAGCATGTACCTGTCACTTCAAAGGGGAGTCGTCAGCGTTGACATTAACAATGTGAAGGAGAGGGCGCCTCGGTGGCTCAGTTGGTTGGGCGACTGCCTTCGGCTCAGGTCATGATCCTGGAGTCCCGGGATCGAGTCCCACATCGGGCTCCCTGCTCAGCAGGGAGTCTGCTTCTCCCTCTGACCCTCTTCCCTCTCGTGCTTTCTATCTCTCGTTCTCTCTCTCTCAAATAAATAAAATCTTAAAAAAAAGACAAAAAAACAATTTGAAGGACTTTTTCCCTTGAAACGGATTCATTTCCTCCCTCCAGTTGAACGCCTGCCCTGTAGCTACACTTCCAATACGAGTACCTTAATGAATTTTCGGTGTTTATCTAGAGTCCTTCGCATTTGCTCATGAACTCTTACACTGGCCTCTTGGCGGGGGTGGGACGGACGATATGATGGGAAATAGTTAAATTTTTCCCCATTCCCCTCTGCTCAGTAAGTATCAGCTTCTCCTCCCCAGCCTTTGGCCTCAGAGCTGTGTTTGCCCTTGGCCGGAGACGATGGAGGCGCGGGGTTAAAGCGGCTTTTATTTCCGTATTTTGGCGTCCTTTTTCCGGTCCCTATTTCGTCCCATCCAGAACCTACGACTAGACAAAGAGCCCTCTCCCGGCCGGAACGAAGAGCCTCAAACCTGACTCCCGCGCGCGGCACACGCGTCTTCCGATTGGTCGGCTTACCGTCCACTAGGAGAGAAGAGCGGCGTCTGCTATTTACATAAATTCCTAGCGGTCCCGGCGGCGCAGCCGGCCGTCCAATCGGATTCCAGCGATTTGGAGCCTTCATTTGAATATGGAGACCATAAATAGCGCTGCCGGAGCCGCCCGCGCGCCTCTGGGCGCTGTCCCGCCGCCGCCCCGCCAGCCATGCCCGAGCCGTCCCGCTCGGCGCCCGCGCCCAAGAAGGGCTCCAAGAAGGCCGTCACCAAGGCGCAGAAGAAGGACGGCAAGAAGCGCAAGCGCAGCCGCAAGGAGAGCTACTCCATCTACGTGTACAAGGTGCTGAAGCAGGTGCACCCCGACACCGGCATCTCGTCCAAGGCCATGGGCATCATGAACTCGTTCGTCAACGACATCTTCGAGCGCATCGCCAGCGAGGCGTCGCGCCTGGCGCATTACAACAAGCGCTCGACCATCACGTCCCGCGAGGTGCAGACGGCCGTGCGCCTGCTGCTGCCCGGGGAGCTGGCCAAGCACGCCGTGTCGGAGGGCACCAAGGCCGTCACCAAGTACACCAGCTCCAAGTGAGGCGCGCCGGGCGCCCTGGAACCCAAAGGCTCTTTTCAGAGCCACCTCTGTGCTCAGAAAAGAGCGTGCCACCCGGTCTAATCTAGTGCTGCTCCATGGGGGTCCTGGGGCACTGGAGTGCGCGACGGGGCGCGAGACTTGGTCTAAAGCTGAATTCCTCTAACGGCGTGTGTCCCGCAAAGGCCTCTCGCCTCAGTCTCCACCGAGCCAGCAGCGGCAGAGGGAGCGCGCCCTTGGCTTTATAAAGGCGGGGGCCCAGTGGGGTGAGGGCGCGCGTCACCTCCAGGAAGTCCTCAGGCCACCCTCCCAAGCAGCACCCCCCCCCGCCCCGGTCCCTGAATGGGTGAGGTCGGGGTGCGCTGGGCGCGATGGTAGTGAGGCTCTGGGTGTTGTGCGGCTTTGGTGGTGGCGTCCTTCCCTGGCCCCACTGGGCACCAGGAGCCTCTGGCCACAGCCCCCTCAAGCAGTGTTGAGTTGAAGCAGCTTTTTATGGGCATCGAGCGTTTCTGTTGGAAAAATCAGAGCGGCGGGAGCGCAGATCGTGGCCTCCGAACTCCCACTCCGCCAAAATCCTTCCTATTAGGATACCGCTATTTTTTTTTTCGAAAAACGTGTATACTTTTAACATAAGCCTAGTAAAGCGGCCAAATATCTTTTTTATTGTGTTCATTAGTTTCAGATGTGTTTAATATTTTATCAGTACCTGTGTAACACCCAGTGGAAAGAGCCTTTTTAACAAAACGAATGGAGGGCATTTAAGGAAAACAAAACAAAAACAAATAGGTAAATGATACGCAAAGGGGATAAAATGTGCCTGCTTCATAACTGAAGCATCCGGCTCCCTGGCCCTAAAAACATCTGGTACTGGTGACTCCCGAAGTACAAAGCACACCTCCAAGAGCACCCTAGTCTTCGAAAGCCAGCAGGCCTCCCACGATCTGGGTGGAAGCCTTGGTTCCCTCAGGCGGGCCTTGGCCTGATTCCTGTGCCCTAGGGGCCTCACACCATCTCTGGTGACTGCCACGCTTCCTTCAGCATTTAACCTATTACACAGTAAGCTGTTTGTTTGCTTTTTTATTAAAGGGATAGCCCCTCCCACTCAAAATTGACTTGAGATTTTTAGCTGAGATGGAGGGTCGGGAGTTTCTTAAAGGCGCCTCAGGTAAGATACCTGTGAAATCCCTCCAGTGCCTTCCAGATCTAAGCGTTTACTTCGTTATCTCAAACCCAGAGAATTCTTCCATTGTGTTGGGTCCTCCCTCTCCGAGCCTCTGTGCTGTCAATACCCAGCGAGCCTCTTGCTCCAACCTCCAGCTTAACGTAAATCACGTTTCTCTTGCTCTGTTGTAGCAGTATTACAAACGTGGGCTCTCTATTCAATCTGCCTCCATTTTCTTGATTTATAAATTCTCAACAGCAGGGACTCTCACCCTGCATCTCCCGTAACAGATTCCCTGGGAGGAGAGGGCCCAATCGGGCCCATGCTCCGACCGGGGCTGCGGGGCTGGCTGTCTGCAGCCTCCACCATACTGTTGAGCAAATAGAGGCAGTGGTCTTTTTTTTTTTTCTTCATGCTAATGAAGTGTGTGTGCCAGAGCCCCGAAAAGACTGAGAAATTAATCTGCATTTTGCATTACCCACAACAAAACATTCTCATACTGTTGTATTTGGGATTTATTCTCCTTTTTTATTTTTGTTGCCTACTGCTAGCAATTTCACACACTGGTGGAGACGAGTTTCATTTCATTAAACCTGTGTCTTAAGCTCATTATGCAGGCAGAGAATCACGTGGGTCCGGGAGACTAGTTTCCCGTTGCCTCATGAAGATACTGACTCCTAATCTACCTGGGTAGTGGGCTGAGGGATCAGACACAATCAGGAGGCCCCTGCTTCATAGTGGAGGGCTGGATTCTGCAGTGTTCAGTATGAATCATACATCTCTTAAAATTAAAGGTGTTGATTCTGATGATACCTCACCCGTTTTCAAATGCTGGGATAACTAGGAATGATAGAATGGAGTAAAATAGCCAAGACAAAATTTCTGTCACTATGGGTTTTTGGGTGTTTTTTGTTTTGTCTGTAAATATTGGTTCAGAGCATGTATCTAAAAAAGAAAGTAAAGGGTAAGCCAGGATGCACACCGGTATCACTCTAACCATAACAATACTATATGTGCCTATTGAGGCATAAACTGAACGAATAATGCAGGGAGCATCACCACCAATCTCACTGAATGACGTAGGTTTCACCAAGATTAAATCTGATTGTTTGAGGATTACAATTATCTCTCTTTGATAACTGTGTACCAAAATTATGTTTTCATCCATTGCGCACCGCCCAGGTGATTTTTTAAGTATTTATAAAATTTCAATTTACATAACTTTTATTAACTTTTTTTTTTGGATAAGGAAGGGTAGTAGATAAAACAATTAAAAACATATCTTACATTTGGATGAAAATCTGAGAGGTGCAATGGGTATGAGTTCAGGGAGAAAAAAAGGATCATCTAGGCCATCTCAGTGTTAACGAAGAATTTGATCGTGTGTTCTATGAATTGATTATGGTATCGAATTGCTATTTCAATAGATACCTTGAAAAGATTGATGTGATCACCTATATCTCAATCAAAAAAAATTTGAAAGTGTGTAACAGCTCAAGAACTTTACAAATATTCCAACGTTTCTTTAAAAATTTTTGTTGGTAACGTCCTGTGTTGGGATTTGCATCCTTGTTAACTATTAGAACTAAGGATAAAAGTATTTTAGATGTCAACTGAAAAACGTGTGAGATTTTAAATCCCTTTAGATTGGACCCACGCAGAAGGAATGGGTGGGTGGGCTTCCAGCCGCTGGGGCGGAGGACGCCCGGGTGGCGACGTTCCCTCCAGACCCTCCCGCCCAGCCCGATACCCGACCGGCCTCCTTCCGAGAGACGATTTGCAAAAACACGACTGTTCTCTTTCATTGTGTATCAATGCCACCACCTTCCAATACATCTAAGACTCAAACACGCTCAAGGCAGCGATTAAAAATCCCTTGTTTACAAATAAGAAGAGCAAAGTGAAGGAAAAGGCAAAGCGATGTCTTTTCCCAAGTGAAGACTCTTCGTGCCAAAGCGCTTTCTCGGACCAAGAGAACACTTTCCAAATTAAATGTCATAAATTCAAAGAAAGGGGGAATTCTACGTCACTGACGCTTCACAGAATATAATAACAAAGTTGCTGAAAGGGGAAGGAGCCAATTGGTTCAGAAAAGGAGGCATTACAGAGAAAAGGAATTATTGTCCTGAGCCATCCCCGCAGCAGGAAGCGGCTTATTACATCTGGCTCCCGCGCACAGGACGCTGCCGTCTCCCTCTCGGTTCCAATGCCGCTGCAAGATCCAGCCACGCAAATATCCTCCCGGAAATGTCCCCTGCTTGAGAAGAAAGACGTCCGGTCCAGGCAGGGATGCAGCTCCAGGCGCCACCGCCCGGGCTGCGCAACAACCAAGTCCTCAGCTCCGGAGTCCATTCATCAGGGACACCGGGGAAGGCAGGCTCGCATGAGGTCCTTACGGAAGCAATGACCCGCGCCCTTCACCCACAGGGGCACGCCACGCGCGGACCGTGCGCGGCCTGGGAGTCCACGCGCGCAAACGCCGGGGATACGCTCTGCAGCCACCAGAGGACGCAGAGCTCAAGGGTCCTACTTCGACTAACGATGCATTGATAGCCCCCAAGGGGAGGGTGGACACGGGATCCTTGGTCGCACTGGCCACGGCCACCATCCCAGACCTCCGTAAAGAACACTTACACATTCTTCCTCTCTGCTCACGTACGCACAGGCGCGCGCACACACAAACCCGATAACCAGGAAACGGACGCACACAACGGAATTGGTTCACATGACAACCCTTCACCGTGTTCGAAACCCTTTTTCGATTGTGTGGGTGGCTCTGAAAAGAGCCTTTGGGTTCCGGGGCGCCCGGCGCGCCTCACTTGGAGCTGGTGTACTTGGTGACGGCCTTGGTGCCCTCCGACACGGCGTGCTTGGCCAGCTCCCCGGGCAGCAGCAGGCGCACGGCCGTCTGCACCTCGCGGGACGTGATGGTCGAGCGCTTGTTGTAATGCGCCAGGCGCGACGCCTCGCTGGCGATGCGCTCGAAGATGTCGTTGACGAACGAGTTCATGATGCCCATGGCCTTGGACGAGATGCCGGTGTCGGGGTGCACCTGCTTCAGCACCTTGTACACGTAGATGGAGTAGCTCTCCTTGCGGCTGCGCTTGCGCTTCTTGCCGTCCTTCTTCTGCGCCTTGGTGACGGCCTTCTTGGAGCCCTTCTTGGGCGCGGGGGCCGACTTGGACGGATCAGGCATGATGGCAGATCTCTCCAAACAAAAGGAGCCCACGTCCTGAGGAACTGTATTTATACGTCCTGTATGCAAATGAAGGATCCAGCGTTCCTCGTTTCTGATAGGCTCAAATGCCGCGCAACGTCACTACTTGAAAAGGCGCATGCAAATTAGGGGAATGGAGGCCTCCCTTTCTGATTGGCCACCATTGCTATCCAATCGGGCGAGGCCGGCTTGACTACCTCCGAACCATATATAAGGGCTCACAGAGGCCAGTACCTTCGTTACTTTGCTGGGGTTTTTCGGCTTTTTCTTTGGCCGACACCCCTCTTGGAAATGTCCGGCCGAGGCAAGCAGGGCGGCAAGGCGCGCGCCAAGGCCAAGTCGCGCTCCTCGCGGGCCGGCCTGCAGTTCCCCGTGGGCCGCGTGCACCGCCTGCTCCGTAAAGGCAACTACTCGGAGCGGGTCGGGGCCGGCGCCCCCGTGTACCTGGCGGCCGTGCTCGAGTATCTGACGGCCGAGATCCTGGAGCTGGCGGGCAACGCGGCCCGCGACAACAAGAAGACGCGCATCATCCCGCGCCACCTGCAGCTGGCCATCCGCAACGACGAGGAGCTCAACAAGCTGCTGGGCCGCGTGACCATCGCGCAGGGCGGCGTCCTGCCCAACATCCAGGCCGTGCTGCTGCCCAAGAAGACCGAGAGCCACCACAAGGCCAAGGGCAAGTGAGGCTGCGGAGGCGGGCTGGCAGCGGCCGTGCGCCCCGGGCGCCCCGTGACACCAAAGGCTCTTTTCAGAGCCACCCACAGTCTCGAGAAAAGAGCCGCACTGAGCACGCATCCTTTCCTTGTTTCAGGACTGCGTTCTCGCGGGCGCACGGGGAGCCGGGCCCGGGGCACGATCCGGGCGAGCCCACGCGCGCGGTGGGCTCCCGCGTCCGTTTGCCGCAGGAAATGCCAGCGGACACGTGTCTGCCGTCTGCCTTTGAATGTCATCCCCACGCCTCGGGCTCGGTCCGGGTCATCGTGAGGGTATCTGTTCCTGCGGCTGACCGCTGCCTTCGGCTGCGCAGAGTGTCGTGCGGTCACGTCTAGACGCCAAGTACAGGCTGTTCTTTTCCCGGGCCCGGATAACCGGGCAGTTTCACCTGGTTTTGAAAATACGTACTGTGTAGGGAGAATCTGCTTTTTGAGGTTCTGCTACGTAAACCTTATGATTTACCTTTAAAAATGGAAGGGTGCTTGACTGATTGCATGTTGCAAAGTTCTGGAAACCGGTGCTTCGGAGTTACGAGCTAATGTGGAGATTAAGATCTTGGAAAGGGTTTTTGCTCTAGAGGCGTTTGCAACATTTAAAAGAAAGTCGTTTTTAAGGGGAGGGTAAACTTTATGACGATTTAAGAGAATTTAAATTACTCAATTTGGGTTGGCCAAACATGAATCCGAGTCCCTTAACCTGATAGCTAAAATTAGGGACTAGAATAATTTGTCTATTGAGTTTGGTCAGGAAAACTAGGTTTGTGAATTTAGTTACGGGTACAGCGAACATTGTTAGGGTCAGATTATGTAATACATATGTGGCTATTTCAGAAGAGGACTGTTCATGAGCTGCATATTGTGTAATAAACGGGAGCTGGACAATCCCAGGGGTCCTGGCAACGTGATGAGAATGTACATAGCACCCACCTCATGGGGGAGGAGGGATTAAGTGGTTGATTCATAATAATTCCTTTAAAACAATGTCTGGCACAGAGAGAGCCTGATAACTGTTGTTGTTCCTACTGTCATTATCTATTGTTTTCATTACTTTTTTATAGCAATAAAGACAGGCAGGTAAGACAATTCAGGATTATTACATAATTTGTACTTACTAAAATTAGGTCTACTCAAACCAGGGCTGCCTAGACACCATCTGGTGCTAACCACACATCTGCTGGTCTTAGGAAAATATCCTAGTGCTGTGAAAGGGAGACACCAGGGATGTACGAGTCTGCTCTGTCCACGTGCATCTGAGCACAGGACTCCCCTGCAGTGGAGGGACGCAGCAGAGCAGGTGGCTGAGCGGGCCCCATTTCTGTGATGCAGGCTGCATGGACTGTCCAAGAGACTATAGAGCTTTCTGGAGACAAGGTGGCTGAGCTGTCCCCTGTGGAGAGCAAGAAGCAACAAGGGCTGTTCGGTGTTCAATGACACAAAATGAAACACACGGATACAGTTTCTTAGCCGCCCCAGCCACACATCGGACAGCGGGGAAACAGATTAGCTCTATCATCGCCTCAATTTCCATCGCACGGCTCTGGTCTAGCGTCTGATCGTTTGCGAGGGTTTCCTGGTTCAGAAATGTGATAAAATCCTCAAAAAGAGCTGCCCACCTCTGCAAGACAAAGCCCGTCAGACCCTCGCTCCAGTAAGAAAGCCCCAGGTGGCCCAGCAGGCCCACTCCCAATGACTCGGTGACTCGCACATTCCCGGCAGCACAAGATTGCTCACATCCCAAAGCTGGAAACAGCCCAAAAGTCCCCGCAGATGTATGCGCAAACTAACTGTGCTCTGTGCGCTTATTGGAATGTCATTCAGCCAAGGACAGCCGCACCGGCAAGCGCTACCACGTGGCGGAACCTCGAACACATATCCGGGAAGCCAGACAACAAGGCCACGCAGGGTACGGTCCCATTGATAAGAAATGGCCAGAAGAGAGAGATCCGTAGAGGCGGGAAGCAGATCAGTGCTTGCCAGGGGCTAGGGAAGGAGGTTGGACGGCGCAACACACCACCAGCCTCTGCGGAGGCCGGAGCTTCGAGGCCAGCTCCCGGCTCCCTGTGGCAAGTGCCATGGGATTATCTCTGTCGTGCTGCCCACGCCCCTGTGGGGTGAGTAGTTTATTCAGAAAGGTGAGCCAAGGAGATACAAAGTCCCGCAGGAAGAATGCAGAAACATCCACACCCACTGCCAGGAAGGTGCTTCCAACTTCCGGAATTCTCCGCTCACTTTGGCCAGGTCCCATAACTCACCCTGCTGCTTTTCGGGGCATGGGTCTGTCCCCAGCCTGCCCCACCTCTGGTCTCTCCTCCTTGCTCTGTTCATTTCCAGCACGTTCAAGAATCTCCCAAGGCGGGGTGCCTGGGACGCTGGGTGGCTCAGTCGGTTAGGGGCCTGCCTTGGGCTCAGATCGTGATCTCAGGGTCCTGGGATTGAGCCCCACGTCGTGGGGCTTCCTGCTCAGCGGGGAGTCTGCTTCTCCCTCTGCCCAATTTTGCCCCTCCCCCCCCGCTCGTGATCTCGCTCTAATGGTTAAATAAAAGCTTTAAAAAATGAAAAAAATAAAAATTTTAAAAAATCTTTCAAGGGAATAAGCATAAAAGGACCCCCTCGTTTTCTGTGTTTGCTTAGACCCTGATTTGGAGTGTTAGGGGACACGCCTTGAGGAGGACTGGTCACCCAGCCTGAGAGCTGTCAGGTCTAGGCTGAGCGGAGCTGTTCCCTTGCATGGAGGTCCCGGACCTGGTCCTCAGAATCGACCTCATGCTCCCAGGAAGGTCTGTTTCTATGCACTGCTCACCAAGCCTCACCAAAGCTTTGCTTTCCTCCCGCACCTGCCCAGCAAAAGTTTTAAAATTGCATCATCCCCTCGGCCCACGCCCCTCCACGTGGGTGGCTGGGTCCCAGGCAGCTCTCTGGGGAGACCACATCCTGGCGCCTCCCTCCTCCCCCCGGGACCGTGGAGCCTGTGACCCCCTCTCCTGCCAACCCTGCCCTCGGGCCTCCAGGACACCTTTCCTTACCCAGTGCCCGTCCACGGCTCGCCCCAGCCCTGGGGCAGCCCTACTTGGGTGCCATCTTGCCAGTTTTCTCCGGCGGGATGATGGAGCAGCCCAAAACGTCCCGGCTGCTGGAGGGGCAGGGCGCTCCTTCTCATGGCTGGGTGCCTTGTGTCCTTATACATAGTCTCACTCCGAGGACAGTTCAGCTTCCTGACGCCGTCCCCCAAGGGCAGAGTCCCCAGGACCCCTGAGGCCCAGCCTGCACCCTGCGTCGAAGGCACACCCCCATGGCCGCCCCTCCTCAGTGTCCCCCCAGCCAGGTACGCCCACCTGGAGACCATCCGCACATGCAGAAAGTCGGGAGGCAGATCCTCTCCGTGGAGACACCCTAGTCCTGGATCCCATCTGTAGTGCTCTCCCCCCAAACACCCCATTCGAATGGCCAGAACTTGTGACTGTGATCCTATTTGGGGACAGGGTTTTTCCAGGTGTAATTTAAAGATCCTGAGATGAGAAGGTCACCCTGGATCAGGCACTAGACTAGAACACGCCAAGAACTCACAACACCCCACAGTGAAGAAGCACTCTTGGCTTTCGGCGGGCCAGGCCTCCCTTCTGCCGTTCATCCGCTCCGTGCACCCTCATTCCCTCCACCTGGATGCAGCCTCCTGGAGGGAGCACTTGTTCTATTGTCTTAGAAGATTCTATTCTGCTGGAGAAGACAAGGGAAAAAAAAAAAAGGGGGGGGGGGGGGGGGGGGGGGGAGCAGAATGGATGAATTTCCTAAGATGGAAGCATAGATAAAAGTGAGGCGAGACAGTGGGGCTTAAAGACACGAGAGAAGCAAGACACGGGGTAGTTAAATGTGAGGCTTCTGGGCACTAAGTATTTGTGAGGGTGAAGTATACCGGAGGCGCTAAATATTCAGGATTATTAAGTATGCAGTAGACACTAAGCAATCACCTTTGAGGCCCTGAGTTTCCGTTAGGCCTTAGCCACCTCTGGGACTCTCCATGGGTGGGCCATCCCGGAGTGGCAGGGACCCCACACCTGTGTGCAAGGGCCCAGCACCCCCGGTGACCCCACCAGCAGCGGGAAGACTGAGGCAGTGGGGAATGACCGGACACGTGACAGGTGTGCCTGGGACGGGGAGGGGCACGGGGGCGTGTGCCCGGGGCGGGGAGGGGCACGGGGGCGTGTGCCCGGGGGGGGGGGGGGCCGGGGGGGGGGTGGCCCGGGGGGGGGGGGGGCCCGGGGGGGGTGTGCCCGGGACCGGGAGGGGCAGTGCTCCTCCCCACTGACACCATCTCCTCCACCTTGCTTCTGCTGGGAGCGTTCAATGGATTTAATAACCCACCTGGTTTGAGAGCTCAGATGGGCCCGCGAGCCCTTCGGTGCCAAGACCGGTAGCGACTTCGGAGAGCCCATTGGCCTCCAGTGTCCGCTCCACCCGGTAGCTGGAAGCAACCTCCGGGCAGGTGAGCTGGAACCCCGTGGAACTCCTGTTTCCTCCCCTCACTGCACTGGCTAGTGTGCGGGACTCTCAGAGCTCGCCCACGGCAGGAGAAACCCTGGGCGCCCTGAGTCCCAAGGACACGTGTGCACGTGGAATGGCGCGGCGCGGTGAGCGCCCCTACAGGTGTGCCGGACGCCGGGTGCACGTCTGCGTGTGTGAAACATGGCCATCTTCCACGCCACGTGCGTGTCTGGCCGGAGGCGCTCTAGCGACCAAAGCCCTTGAAGGCATCACGGCCCGGAAACCGTCCAGGGACAGCACACGTGCCGGGTTGGCCTGGCAACAAGTCACCAAGAAAAGAAAATGAGGGACTCCAGAATGAGGGCCACCTTCCCGCAGGCTCCGAGACTTGACGGAGCTTGCGAAGCTTCAGGGGCGGTCGGGGAGAGCGCGCACGGCTGCTTTTGCTGAAACGGAAAAAGGGACGGGGCTTGATGATGTCCTCTGAAGCCGGGGTCGCCATCTCGGGGCCGCTCCCGCAGGCCGCGGCGCATGCGCTGGGCCCCCCCGGGCGTGTCGCGGGCGGGCCGGGGGGGGGGGGGGGGGGGGGGGGGGGGGGGGCCTAGCGCCTCGGGCCGGGCGGCTCATCGCCGCGAGGCTCGGTTTTGGGGTCCTAGGTCCGGGAAGGCAGCGCTCGATAGGGAGGCTTGGGGAACCCCTGAAGGTGGCGGAGCTCCGGGGAGCCGCGGGGGGGGTGCCGGGTGGCAGGGAGGCAGGAGTGAGGGCATGCGGGGCGGCGGGAACACAAAAGCGCAAAGGAGGCAGGGATCCCGGGTTGCGGAGGCCCCCGCTCCTGCGGGCTGCGCTCGCGACTCGCTGGGTAAAGCTCCGAGGCCGTTGCGGCCCTTCTGTACGCTCGCGCACGTTTCCCGGTTGGTCATTTCAAAAGCTCTCCGCCTGACCGCGCTGGAGGCGAATTCGCCCCGGTGGCCTTGGGATGCTGAGCGCCATCGTGGGCCCGGGGGCTGCCGCGCCCCAGCCCTGCTCGTCTGGGCTCCGATTCTCGGATGCTGACCGGGTTCTGCACGCTGCACGTCACTGATTTCTCGCATTCGTTAGATGCAAGCGCTACGTGCGGTTCTTCCGGAAAGGGATCGTTCTGTCTGTCCGGTGGCGGCTCGCCGAGGCCTTTTCTTCAGGGCGCGCACGGATGGAGCTCCGCCAGCACCCCTTAGCGCCCAGCTTTCCCCTCGCCCCTTCCCGGCTGCGTATCTTCCCTCCTCCCCTCTGCTCCGAGCGCATCGGATCTCTGTCCACGCTGTTTCCCTCTTTGCTGCTTCTAGGGATACGCGCACGTCTACATCTGAACGTTTCAGATAGACATATGCTTAAGACCCAAAAGGCCATATAGGTCAGCGCTTTCCTGGTCACCCAGGTCCGTAAAAAGGCAGCACAATCTTATTTACATCCTTCCGTAGCCTTATGGTTGTAATCTTTGTGTAAACTGCACATTCTCGTTAACCGTGAAGCTGGATTTGCCATTGGCGTCGGATCTAGGGGTGTTGTGGTCTTATGGGACTGAGCCCTGAGCCTGTGGGGTCTGATGCTGTCTCCAGGTAGATAGG